GCTTATAAGTATAGCTGAGGTGCACACATCCTGGACTTCATCGGTGGCTTTTCCCTCCAGCATGCAACCGAACGAGCCAAGCAAAAGTTCCGGAGCAAAGACCCCGGCTGCCTGCATGGGTCCTGGTGATGCATCCTGCCAAGGAACAAGCACACCTATATAGTTGCAGCAAAACTCAAGTCAAGTATAACCCGCCTCCAAGTTCCCTTCAGAGGCGGTCAGCTCCTACACGAAGCGACTTCATATAATATGTGTGCAAAAAGACACAACAGGATCCGAACAAAGGAAGCCTCTATCACGATCATGCTCTCTCTGTACTTGGAGGCCTTGTTGTCCCAGAACATCCATCCTGACGGGGATGCATGTTGATGTAAATCCGAAAAGAAGCACTCAAAGTCTCGCCTTTCACTGGAACCGATTCACTGTCGGAATCGTTCCACCACACCGACAGCTGTGGAGGGTCACTCATGATGTCGATGTGGAAGCCCCCTTTGGTCCAGCGAAGCCGACCCCCACCGGGGACATCGACCTGCCACCGGAACTTCTTCTGTCCTGGCCAGAGTGTTTGGGAACGATCCGGGCGAAGTAAACTTATCTGAGGGGTCCTCGTACCGGCAGCAGGTCGTGAAACTCCATGCCGGCGGTCTGCACCATCTTGTGCTCGTCGTCCTAGGCAAGACAGATATACGATCCATTTATGCAAAGTCTCCAAAAACCCCGACCTGAGGCATGCCACACCATCGCATGGCAAAGCAAGCCATGGCTGCACCGGAAAGCCCACAAGGCCCTCAACCCTTCAAAAAGTGCATGCAGTGCATGCCAGCCTGCACATGTGGCCCATGACCTGATATGTGCATTGCATTGTGGCCCACGACCTGATGTTTGCATGCCACATGCATCAAAGGATGTTTGAAGTTTGCATGCGGCATGCATGCATGCATGCATCGACCCAGAAAAGAGCCTGAATCGGTCCACGATCGAGTGTTTCAACTGCAAATCAGCAACGACATGAAGAGCTGCACACCATGGAACACAGCATGCAAACAGTTTGGCACCTGAGGCATCGACTCACTGACTCGGTCTGCCTCTCTTTTTCTCTTTCTTTCTCTCTCATACATATATGTTTATGTCTCCATATAATACATATATATATATATGTATATAATCTCTGTCTGTCTCTCTCTCTCTCTCTCCTCCATCTCTCTCTCTTTGCTTCTGTTCAATTTTTTATACCCAATCAAGCCGGCCATCGAACTGGGCACCACAAAAACTCACTCATCCTCTTCCTCGCCCTCGCCGTCCTCGTCATCATTATCAGCGGCTTCCTGGTTGTCATCGTTCTTCTTACCCTTCTTGGCAACCTTTCTCTTCTTCTTGGGAGTGGACTCGCTGGAGCTGCACTTTTCCCGCAGGAACTTAATGTTGTCCTCCGTGAATTCCACCCAAACTGAAGACGACCCCAACCCCTCCAACAGCATGGTAATGGACTTGCCATGGAATTCCACCTCCATCGACAAAGGGAGCATGACGGCATGCTTGGACTGTGCTCGAACAGGCTTCTCCTTCTTGGGCTTGGGATTTTCCGACTCCTCCTTCAGGGCATCCTGCAGCAGCATGTTGGCACGTTCTTGTCGTAGTTGCACGAGCTCGTCCCATGCTGAGCATGCCAAGGATCCTGCACTGTCCTTCTTCTGCTTTCTCAGATCTAATGCTTTTCCGGAAAGCAATCTGACACTGGTTCGGTCCCACTTCTGCAGGCAAATGAAAGGAACGTCTTGCACGAGCTTCTGAGTCGGGACGAAGGGAGCAGACTTGCCAAGCTGAACCACATACTTCTGTGTGATGCGAATCTCGTCCATGCGATTCTCGTCCATGCTGAGCTCGACAATGGGACGGGTGAAAGGATGCGAGACTTCTAGAAACACTTGAGAGCGAGCTGGGCACAACAGCATGCCTTCACATCTCCTGCATGCACATGCATGCAGAGCTGCCTGCGAGCTGAAAGCCCTGCAAGCGACACGTACAAAGATTGCAAAGCACTGAAGGCACATTTCATGCTGCACACCACTCAAACCTCTGTGCAGGGAAGTCTTCCCTGAGATCGAAATCGCATGGATCCATGTCTGCTGGGCAAAATGCAGACATGTAACGAAAGCCACACCTCAAGGCAGCCGAGCACTTTTTCATGTATACTTCACATCTACATGCATCTTTAAATATACATATGTACATTTAAGTATATACCGATCTACATCTATGATAAACATATAGATTTAGCTTTAGGTGGCTCGGGCATGATGCCGAGATCGGATGCATCTGCTCTGTGCGCCTACTGCTTGGTTCTCAATCTCTTGGGTGCAGCTGGCATCTCAAGATCATCCCGAGTGGCCTTCTTCGGCATGAACTGGGACAAATGATCGCCTGGCGATAGGAGGATGTTGTTTCGGAGTAGTGGCACCCGGATGTTGCTAGTCTTCGTGCCAGACCAGCTCAGCTCCATGTTGGTGGATCCTGCATCGTCCGTCATGTTGACGAGGAAAAACGGTGAGATGCAGCACTTGCCCGACCCCATATCCTCGTCGCCCTTTGGCAGCTGCACACATGACGAGAGCCAGAATTGGCGATCGTCGAGCTTCCATGGGGTCTGCACTTCCACGGCATTCGCCACAGAGCCTTGGGATTTCAGCCTGTGAATGATCTTCCAGCTCACTGGCACAAGCACCAGTTGGCCTTTGGTGAACTTTTGCTTGACTGTCAAAGCCTTGTGAGGCTTCATTTGCAAGCTGAGCTTGCCGAGCACCCCATCAACATCATGCTTCTGTGCCAATATGTCCAACTCTTTTTGGATGTCTGCGACCATGAGAGCAGCCTGATACTCCAGAGATTGGGAGAAGCCCAGCATGGACAAATCCTCGAGAACCTCTGCTTCCTTCTTTGGGGTGAACAAGATCCACCCACCAGCAAGGAACTGATCGCTGGCAACCTTCATGAAGCCTTTCTTCTGCAGATCCTGCAGTTGAAGTTGGGAGCCCTTGATGTGCTTGATCCGGCACTCCAACTTGTCCGCTTTGCGACGAACAAAGGCATCGACCACGAAGCCTGCATCAGTCAGCAAGTCCTCCGCATTGCGGAGTGACCCATCCGGGTTCAGCTCCCTCATCCTCTCAGCTGCTCCCTGGGCCGATGACTTGCCATCGGCATTTGCTTCAGCAAATGCCGCCCACGGACTCTCCAATCCCAAGAGCAGGCAAGCATCGTGTGCGATGCCTTGGACGGCCCTATAGCTTTTCTCCTGCTCGGCACGAGGAAGCCCAAGGCAGAGCCTCACGACATTCATGTCCACCACTCCCAAGATGTTCACGAAGCTGACATCCCTGAAGACGTCAACACCCTTCTTGACCATGAGCTCCCGAAGTTCGCACAACACTTGGTTCCCCTCCAGAACCTTCTTCTCGCAGTCTCGGGCGAACATCTTCCGAGCTGTGCTTGCGGTGATCCCACCCCCTGACAAAGCCAGCTTCAGCAATGCATGCCGGAAATGAGGGATCTGCTCCTGGCCTTTCTTGAAGTCTTGGGAGAGCACCTCCCAGAACTGCAATCCCAAAGCTCTTGTTTGGCCTGAGCTCCTGACGAAGATCTCGCTTTCTCGTAGAAAGCCGCCGTCCGCCCCCCCGCAGAAGCGGAGGGCGAAACTGTAGAGAGCCGGAAAGCAATCGCCACACGGTGGCTTCGAGCTCAGGGCCACCTTCTTGATGTTCTGGAAGTCCGGGGAGCTTTCACGGCTTGCCAAAGAGAAGATGCGGCGAAGAAGCTGGAGTTCACTCTCACTCTTCTGCAATGTCGCATTCTGTGATGCTTGAACGAGCTGGACAATGCTGGGAAAAGCCTCGCCGACTTCTTTGGAAATGACTCGCCAAGTAAGCCCAAGCTCCACGTGTTCTGCCAGGGCTGCATCTCGAGCCCTGACTTGCTGAAGGCTTAGCATCCCATTCACAGAAAGCTCTGTCGACTCGTGGCGAGCCGAACATGCCACCAGTCTGAGGGCAAAGTTAGTATGAGATGCTGACAGGCTGAGTACTTTGAGGAGTTTGCTGTCCATGGTACCAAGCGAGCCACCGGCACCATCAACCATTCGTTGGTTGTAGATGCGGTGGTCGTCCGAGCCTATCTCGATGCCGATGGCATCCACACGGGCAGGCACAAAGCCCACCTGAGCGATGCTGTCGAGGAGCTGGTGTACGTCGCCCGCATTCAACATCAACCCGTCCCGGTTCTGCGGGTGAACCCCCACTGAAAGTGGGGGTATACGCATCTCTGTCAACAAACCAGAGCGGCGAAGAACGACGAAGAGGTCGGCGACCGACTTCACAAGGAACTCGCCTCCCTCTGTCTTCCGCAGTAGGGCTGCGATTTCCCCGTAAACTTCAGGCGACAGCGCCATTGCACTTTGTTCCACCTAGAAGTACACTGAGTTCTCGAGCAGAGAAACTTCGTCGGTATATACACATGGTCACATGATGGTTTTCTTGCCCTTCTTGCCCTGCAGGCGAACTAAGTATATACTGCCTGCGAGCATGCATGCATCTTATGAAAAAAATATAGTGTTTGCTGGCATGGCTGCCTGTGGAATTAAAGCTTTATTGCCCTGCAGGCGAAAATATACTGCCCGCGAGCATCGATACATATACCAAAAAGAACAGCACCTAAGCACACTTGGCCTGTTTACTTAATTGTGCTAAATGGCACGACCTCAGTTAGCATTAAGTATGCTAACTTGGCTAAGTAAAATATCCATATCTTGTCTATCCTGTCTAATCACTTACAAGCAACAACATCTGATTGTTAAATGACCCCGTCCATTTACTAAACAAGCCATCTCCACTGCTGCAACATAGCCTACTTATAAGTATACTAACAACAACTTAGCCATGATAATAACCATGGTTGCACAAGATACTTAACCATGCTAAGCACTGTAATCATTTATAACCACCCCGCCCTTAGAAGTATGTGGGGTCACCAAGATACCGCTGAGGATCAACTGTCGGCAAGGCCGCCGGGGGACCACCAGGAGTGCGAGGAACTGGATTCTGGGCACTTCGTTCTCGCTTCTCTGCGCCCTGTCTATCATCTACTGACACACCACGGGAACCGGCAGGAGTGCGAGGGATTGGATTCTGGGCACTTCGTACTTGCTTCTCTGTGCCCTCATTTCTCGCGGTGGCTGGCTCCCGTGACCTTGCTCTGGAGCGACCCCTGGACACATGAGGCAGAGACCCAATGTCCTCCGGGAACACATAGTCGTCGAAGGTCTCGAAGCCGGTGCCTTCCAAGGTCTGCAGCAAGCTATGAAAGGTCCACGGTGGCGTCGCAGCATCGGTAGCCTCAGCAATCGCAGCTTCTCTTTCGGATGCATGCCGAAGCTGGTCAGGGCTGCATCGCTTGAGACGGCCATTTGAAATGACCCACACAGTCTGGGATGGCTTTCGGACCATTCCTTGAGCGTCGCTCCGAGTCTCAGTCGCCAACACACGTCCCGGCCCGAACCATCTGCCCTGACCAACTTTTGCAAACCCAAGGCCTGGATGTGCGGGCGTGTCTGCTGGAGGCTGCACACGACGATAAAACACCAGGTCGCCCGGAATGAACTGCACCTTCCTGCGCGACTTCATATTCAAGAGCCGCCCCAGTTGATAGGATGCCTGGGATTTCCGGTATATGTCCTCCGCCGCCGTTCGCACAGCCATGTGGTCATGGAAGCTGTGTCCTGATTCCACGGCGTTCTGCAACAGGGGGAGGCCTTGCTCGCTCTCAAACAGACGCCCATCAACTCCAAAGTCGCGCCCAAAAGCCCATTGGGCCGGGCTAAAGCCCTGCACCCTGTGCACTGTGTTGTGGGCCGCGGCGCAATGAAGAAGAGCACGGTGAGCGCCCACAGGATGGCCAGCAAGAAGGGTCGTGGCATCCTGTTTCATCTTCCTCACCAAAGACTCCACCTGGCCAATCTGGTGATGTGCCTCCGCAGGGCACGGCGTCACCTCAATGCCAATGTCGGCCGCCCAGGCTTCTAAGAGCTTCGAGCGGAAGCACCCCTCGGGATCACATCGAAGCCGATCGGGAAATCCATAAGCCTGGGTCCAGTGCTGCTCAATTGCCAGGATGGCCTCCTCCGCAGTCGCATTCCTGCCGTCCTGGTAGTGCCGGTCAAAGAGCTTAGCAACGACAGTGAAGTGGGTGGCCTCGTCGGTGATCAGCATAAAGTGGGTCACCGTGTCATCGACCCTGATCTCGGCGTTGTCGATCTGGATCACCTTCCATGGCACCTCACTTTGCTGGAGAGAGACGCTAGGAGAAAGGTCCGGGAGGCGCATCTCTTGGCAGTCTGGGCATGTATGTTCCATGGCAATCTTGATGACCTCGTGGTGGGCTCCCCGGGCACGCAGCACCTTTGCCAGAGTTTTGCCAGAGGGATGCCCGGCACGAACATGAAGTCGATGAACCAGTGCCTCTGCCCGCTTGCGGTCAGCGGGGTCCAGCTTTGACTCAAGGAGCGGTTCGTCACTCAGTCCAAAGGCCTGGGCTTCTGCTGCTGCGCCACCAAGGTGATCGGCCTGTAGGGCAAACTCGGCAACGGCCCGGCACAACTTGGGAGGATATCTCGAAGAAACCGACAAGGACCGGGACATAGCAGCCGCAGATCTCCTGGATGACAAGCCCTCCTGCGCATACACAATTGATCTGCGAAGGTCGGGGCTCGTCGACACAATCTGCCATTTCTTCCCGGCTGCCTCGTCAAGAAAGATGGCCACATGTAGGTGCCCTCGTTTCGCAAGCTTCGCCATGAAGCCCTTCATCTCGGGCTCCTTCCAAGCCAGACTGTCCTTAGGCCATTCCCATGCCATGTGGGCACCACGGCGCACCTGGTCCTCAGCAAGCCTAAGGGCGGTCTTGAAGACTTTGCGGCACCTCCTTCTGCGATGCAGGTGAGTCCTTTGGGAATCGTCGGGCCCTTCCGGTACACTGTCCTCAGGCTGCTCAAGGGCTCCACACGGAACTGAAACCCACAACAAAGCCGGAGAACGAGCCCTGGCTGCTTCCAAAGCTTGCTCCACACCGGCCTTCCGTCCAAAGTCGTACTCGAAGGGGCTCATCCTCGCTGAGGTTCCGTGTCGATCTTCAACAGCATTTCGAAGGCCACTCGCTCCGGAAGTTCCGACCTCGAGCACATGCACCCCAGACCGGTGCTTTGGCAGATCAGCCACATCATGATCAAAGCCCGCAAGGATCTCCTTCATGGACTCGCGGATCGTTGCGGCCTGGTCGTTCTGAAGGCTGCCCTCGGCCGCAAGGAAGCCCTCGTCATCGATGATCAGGCCCCCGGGCTCGGGGGATTGACCTTGGTCCACGTCTCCGCCTCGGCATTGGTCAGCGCTTCCTGTTCCTCGGCAGCCTTGGGATTGTTCCGCTTGACACTCTTCTTTGGCACACGCTGTGGATCGTCCTTGGCACTCATTCCCGAGTCGGAGCTTACCGCCTGAGCTGCTGCCTTCACCTTTGGTCGGGCCCCGCGGTCCTTCGGCTTGTCGTTGAGGTCGCCGGCGCGAACGTCCTTCGGGTAGCCGCCGTCCTTCTCCTTCTCGCTGCTCGCCTTCCCAAGGGCCTGGGCCTTCTGAGAGCGGACGGTCTCGAGGCGTCGTAGAAGAGAATCCTCCGCCCCCTGGAGCGCCACCGCCTTGGCATTCAAGGTCTCCTTGGCCGCCGGCTTCCCGGCTGCAACACGCTCCTCCATGATCTCCACTGCCTTCTTCGCGTCCACTGGCAACGGTCCAGCCTGGCGGTAATGAGCGTGAGCGCCAAAGGCCGGCACATAAAGGAGTCGCAGGCGGCACTCCTTGCACACTTCCCAGCGGCCGTGCGCATTGGCCCCCGACTCCGACAGGCTCCCGCGGCCGGCTGCCATCGGAACGTGGTTCCCGTTGCACGGCGGCCCGGCTGTCCTTGGATCGCGGGGATCCGGCCCAACTGCTCTTGACACATCGTACTCGGTCTTTACCTTCTCCTTCGCCTTTGCCTTGGTCTTTGGGGCACCCTTCGGTGCCGAGGCGCTGCTCTCGCCCGGAGTGTGTCCAGGAGCCGACGCCATGATCACGAAGAGGAAGTTGACGGGGGGATTGTTGGGACAGCAGTGTCCCCATCGACTCTCGAGAGGTCTCGTCGGCAGCAGTCATATCGAAAATTGGCACATGACTCGGGACTTCAGGAGGCACACTCTCGAAAGCAACATGTCTGTCTGCTAAAGCATGCTCACACACACTTGCACCACTGGAAGACAGCAAGGCACTCTGCAAAGGAGGGTGTTCGTGACCGGGTGCTTGTTCAGGAAGTTGGGGTTCCGGAGGCTGTTGTGTGAAGACGCCGAAGTTCTCGCTGTCGGGGCCCCCAGGCTCAGGTTGCTGCACATGTCCCGCGCCCTCCTTATATCCGGACAAGACCTGGCTCAAGACGGTTCCGGAGAAACTTTGGCCGGCACCGGGTGTGCGCAACCAATCGTGCGCCAGATCTAGCAAAAGGTGACCTGACGCACTCTCCTGGAGGCCTATGGTAACTCCAGGGTCAACGGCCTTGAACACTATGGTCTTGCGTTGGAAGTTGATCTCAGCACCTAGCTTCTTCAAAGTCCGAATGCTCAAGAGGATCGGGATGCGGGGCACGTCAAGCGCAAAGACACCGAGGGAGATAGCATTGCCGCCCAGGGTCTGAGGAACCTCTACATAGGAAGTGGCGGTCTCCTGCTGGGCGTTGCCAAAGCGAAAGCTTCGGCGGGCTTCCGGGTACACTCGGACGCTCTCCATTCCATAGCGTTGGCGGCGCATCGCCACCACAGCTTCGATGGCATCAAGGCTGCCAACCGTCTCCGTGGCCCCGCTGTCGATCACAGCGAACCCTGGGTGTAACTGGCCGGTCACAGACATAGCCGCCTCCATCTGGAAGTTGCCGAAGGCGAAGTCGTCCTGGGGGTTGCCGGCAATCACGTGCATATAGCACAATGGCATCTCGGCCTGCTCGGTGATCTGGGTGTTCCCCTGCACAGCAAAGGCCTCAGCACTGGATCCCGGCTCAGCGGCGTCATCACCGGGCATCACCATGAAGGTCGGCGCCTCGCTCCACGGGCTGTCGCTCAACAGGTGGGCAGCTCCGGCCCCTTTTCCGGAACCGCGCTTCGGACACCGACGAAAATCATGGTCCTTAGCACCACATATGAAGCACCCCGTGTACGAGGAGCTTCCGGGCTTCTGCCCGCCATCTGCCGCCATGGCCGCCGAAGGGGAAGAAGTCGAAGAAGCCGGGGTGTTTGGCCCTTTCTTTCCTTTCCCTTTTCCTTTTCCGCCGAACGGCCCTTTGCCTTTTCCTTTGCTCTTGCCCTTGCCCTTGGGGTTCAGCGGGTAGAAGCCACGGGCCGTGTTCCTAGCAGCCACCAGTTGCCGGGATTCTTTGAACGATCGCACCTTATCCTGGTAGAGGGTCAAGGCTTCCTGGAGCTCCTTGCCGACCGCCGGGTCCACAGCCATGGCCTCATTCACCTCAAACCACGGCTTGGCGTCCGACCAGTTCCACCAGACACCTTCCGGATCTTCGGTCCACCAGTCTCCGTCAAGGTAGCTCCAGTACACCTCAGCGTCGCCATGCATACTGCACCACGTTTCCGGTTCCTCCTCAGCCGAGAAGACCGGATGCACTTCCTCGGGCAAGCGCTCGCCGACCCAATGCACATTCCCTTGGGAGTCGTCAGCCGGGAGGTCGTCAAGAAGCAGACCCCACGAGCCTTCCTGCTCAACCCAGTAAGTACGACGAGGCCCACGGCGTTCTTCTGCTTGAAGAAGGTCCTCCTCCTGGTCGCGAAGGGCCTTCTCGATGAGGTCAAGGTCCAGCTTGTTGTTGGTGGCGGCGAGGACGGACAGCCGAGCATGCGAAGGAAGGTGAGCACGACGAAGGAGGATCCATCCCAGGACTTCCTGGGGCAAGGCATCGACCTCCTCCAGCTGGAAGCGCTCCCACTCGGGCTCCGGCTCATCGTCCTCATCGCTGTCCTCCCGACGCCACTAACCACCAAAGTGTCGCCGGCCGGGCGAGCTCCAACCATGCTGGCCTTGCCCATTCCACCAGTCCTCCCACTCAGCCGCAGTCCAGCCTTGGTCACCACGATGGCTGCGCTCGCTCGCGACCGGTGGGTCCTCAAGCGGGTTGATCGGGTGCACCTCTTCATCAGCTTGCGGCTCGGGCTCCCCAGTGGTGTCGCTCCGCCTGTTTTTGATGGGGAGGCCAGAGCTCGATGCCGGAGGCGACGTGGCTGGTGCCGCCCTCCTTGGCGACCCGGTGGTGGTCTTCTTCGGAGATCCTCGGGCCCTAGCCAGCGCACGCTGGATCCGTCGTCCATTGAACCATCCGAGAGCCAGGCTGCCGCCTAAGACGGACAAGGAAGTCCTCCAGGCGAGTTCCCAGGTCGGGAATTGCCGAGCGGCCCAGGCGAGTCTCCAGGTACTCAAGAAGATAGGTAGCACCTTCACGCCCCTGAAGCCGGGCGTGATCAAGATCGCCACTCACATCCCAGGCGCGTCCTGACAGCCGGCTGGCCAACTCAGCTCCGACAAGCTTCCGCTTCTTCGACGGCGTGCGCTCCCAGTAGAGCCTCACCCTTCTCACATAGGTGTTCCAACCTGCAGCTTCACCATCCCAGGAAGGAACTTGATCACGGCCGCCGCGTTCCATCAGCCTTCTCGGAAAAACGGAGGGGGGCAGCACAATGCCCTGGATCTTCGCAGCTCTCCTTTCTCGCACGAGCCTTACCCTTCTCAGGGCAGGCTCCGCTACCAATGTTGGTAGCACGACAGCTCCTAGAGCTGAAACCACAAAGCACTGCTTCCAAGCGCACCAGCACAGCACTCGTTCCGCAGCGCGGTCTTTTCCTGCGAGCCCTCACACGGCTCAACGCGTAGCTTCCATGGCTTTCTAAAAGCCACAAGGCTGAAGGGATCCCTCGAGAGGAAGCGCAGCCAGGAGAAAGAGTGGGCGAGCTGCATGTCGGAACCTGCACAAGACATGACTCTTCAGAGGCTGTCTCTCCTTCGGAGAAAGCACCTGCATCTCGCGCATTGCTGCTGTCGCATCACCGCCTTGCCGACGCGGTATGATCTCACCCTCCCCAGTGCCCTGTTCCGGGTGCTGCTCCTCCGGCGCCTGCGCCTGCCCTTGCCACTCGCGCCTCGCCACTGCCGCTGCCATGGACTGCTCGACCCGCTTGGCGACCACCGGTCCGCGTGCGCCACATCCGGCGTGCTTGCTAGCCGAGCTCTCCCGCTCGAGCACGCTGTCGCCCGAGTTTGCCGCGAGGCTGGGGCGCGGGTCGCGAGGAATGTGCGCCTCGCCCACATCAACCTCGACGCGCCAGTCGGTGATGAAAGGCGCATCGAGGTCGTCGCCAACGGCCTCCCTCTCTGGCACGGCTCCCAGCTCGCACTCGACGCCACCATCGTCTCCCCGCTTACAAGGCGAGGCGAAGCCCATCCGCGAGCCGATGTGCAGCCGGGCTATGCAGTCGAGGCTGCCGCCAGGCGTAAACGCCGGGACACCTACCCCGAGCTCGCCCGGTGCCGACGTTGTAGTTGGTGTCGAGGTTGGAGGCAGGTTCGGCGCTGAGGCTGCCCAGTTGCTCCGACTCCTGGCGCGCCAGCGAGCCGAAGCCGTCCCTGCCCACCTCCGCCCGACCGCCATCAACGCCTGGGTAGCGCGCTGGTCTGGCCTCCTTGCAGTCGCCGCGCAGCGAGCGTACGCTGCCTCGCTGCTTGAACTCCCTCCTGCTGCCGAGCTCAGCGAGGGCACTGAGCCCGACCTGCATGAGGTCCTCGCTGACGCCAGGTGGCTCCAGGAGGTCCCGGCAAGCCGCTTGCCCCCACGCTAGCTGCAGTGTGGTGCCTTGAGTGCACCCTCTTCAGTGGTAGGCAACGGTAGGTCATCAAACTACTCTAGGTCGACCGGACACGTTCTGCCGTCGCAAAAAGGTGCGCCGAAAAAAAACCAAAAAAAACTGCAGGCTCTAAGCCTAAAGCAGAGCATACACCGCAAATCCTCCCTAAGCCCTTGTCGACTCGAAGCTTTATACCTTATAACCGTAAACCCAAAATTCAATAGCTTAAGCTAAACCCCAAACCCCAAAACCCCACAACCACCCCACAGGGGGAAGAGGAACCCCACACCCCACACCACAGGGGAGGGGGGGGGCCCCACCCTATATCCGGACCATTGACCTTTGGGGGGGGAGGGGGGGGGGGCTGCGGAGCGCGTGACCATACATACCCTGGCCCCGAACTTAGTCACGCCCGACGCAGCCGTCTGGTTGTCGTCGGGATCGGCAAACCTATATCTAGACCGCAGCCCTCGATGTCTCTTCGCAGCTTTTTGGACCCGAGGTTCGAGGTGGCCTTGCTTGGTCGTGTGCTACGAGCGCGGGCCTCCAATGCGCCTGCGTGCCTTTGCCGAGGCGGCGTGTGTACACCGGCGGAGTCCCTATATCTCGGTTGCGTCGCAATGCACGGTCGCCGATTCATTGAAACCCACCTGGCCCTCTGCAGCCACTATCCTGATAACTTGGGTCTCAGCACAAAGTCCTTGAGCTCGGCAGTCGGTTCTCGCATCAGGCTCGATGGGCGTCATTTGCATCCAACGCATGCGACCCCCTTTCACAAGGCAAAGACCACGGCGAACTCACAGCCACAGGTGCAAAGAGGCCATGTGCTGTGCGTGTCAAACCAAGAGGAGGTCGCATGCGGGGTTGTGAAGCTGAGTCGTCGGCAACTCCGAATCGAAACGCAAAATCAGCAACGATTGGCAGCGACATGCCTCAACGAGACCACGAGTTCGAGCCTGCATGGTGCCCGTTGGTGCCCGTGCAAGGCTTAAGTTTCCTGCGCAACCAACACATATTGTAGGCGGCCCTGCGTAGCCTCGGTTGCAACCGCTGTGCGGCCTTGCAGCTTGGCTCACCAGGAAAAGGCGCAACACGCCACAGGCCAGGCATGCCGCATGCCGCGCTTGCGAGCTTTTCCTGTCGAGGAGTGAGCCGCCTGCGACCAGTGCCGATGCATCGGCAACCTAGGCTGGAGCTGGCTCCCGGCGACGAAACTGTGGACACGAGTGGCTCGCCTTTGTGGCCGTATAGCTCGGAGAAGTGGGAGATAGAGTTCTCCACAGCACAGGTCCGCGAAAAAAGAAAGGATGCGATGTAGGCGGCAACGGTTGGATCCCGAGATCGTAAACGAACAGCGTTTTTCCATTGTTTCTAGCTTTAATTGGCTTTTGAAGTCGAATATCGCCGAACGCAGGAGATATGACAAGTGCTCCGGGCGGGTAAACAGATCGGCGCGCCCGCCGCATGTGGAATTTGCGGTTAGGACATGTTAGAACAAGACGGGTGGGATGAGGTCCACACACCCAACCCTGCATCCACGTGATGTGCCAAATGCAGAACTTTCTGTATCAGGCTGGAAGCCAACCTCCTGAATCTCCTGAACGGTGCTTGTCGACGCACTGCGGCGTGGGAAATGGGGCGGCCAAAAAACAACAAAACGATAACAAATGTCTGCCAAATCTACAAAACCGACGAAACCCGACAACCACATGCAATTTCTATCTTCACCGCTTCACTTCCGCATCTTCGTGGGAAGAGTGGCATCTGACTAGAGTCCATTGTGCAACTGCACGTAAGTTTGCCCATGGTCTGTTTTTTTAATGATGCTACGTCCAGCTCAAGCATCATTCCAGAGTTGTGCGCAACTCCCTCACCGTACGCTGCTGCGTGGCATTCAGAGGTTCGTTCAGCTTTGTGTTCGTTCTGGCCGCCAACCTTCAAAATGCTGCTGCATGCGACGCCCAGGCATCATGGGTGTGGGCCAATCGAAATGTGCTGCCTGCTGTGGCGACAAAGACGAAGCAGGATCGGGCATTCTCATTCCATGCGTGGTGCAAGTCGTAATTATGTAGAGTTATGTGGAGCCTTGAGTCAAGCGTGTCGGCGTGGTGTGATGGCAGATCATGGTTCTCAGGTAACGACGTTTCCATTCAGCCACTTGAAGGGAGTGGTCTGGCGGGAACAGAGGAGGTTGCGGAAACGCTTGGGGCTTACACCCCATGCTATGCCATGGCACGGCAGATCTTTGCGAGTGTTTACGGTTACTCTGGCGACTTAGCCGCTTCAGCCATGTACCGAGGAAGCGTGCGCCGAGCGCAGAAGAAAACCCCAACAAGGCCAGTCAATGTTTGCAAAGGTTTTTCCTTGTGCATAGCCAGAGGCAAGCACGAGCTCGCCCACTGTGGGTACGGATGGGTTGCCACGTTGGTAGAGTTTTGGTTGATCCCTCGCATTTGTATGTAGTCTCCGCAGCTTAGTGGCCACAGCGCAGTGTTGCCACACTCGCACCCCAAGACCACACCCGAACTTGAAGCCTTAAACTCGCTGCAAACCCAAAGCACCGAGCTCGAAGCCCCAGCCCAAATGCTAAACCTCAGAAAAGGCTCTCAGCCCCAAGCTTGTGGTTAACATTCCTGTCATTATCATAGGCGTGCCAGGTGGGTGACAAAATTACCATCATTCTTGTTGTCATTACTACTACGAGACTACGAGTATTGGTACGATTAAATACTCTTACTATTACGACTACATACGACTACTATATCTTTGCTTCGCGATCATTCTGCAATGCAAGAGGCAAGAAATGTAGCTGTTGCTATTGTTATCATGAGAAGGTTTGGAGCCCCGGGCTGTAGATTGCAAGGATCCTCTGGGCCCTTCCTCGAGCGGCGGGGCTCCGCACCTCTCAGAGTTTATAAATGAATTGAATTCGTCCCAACACCTGCACGACAAGCAGTTCCAAAGACAGCTTGCATGTCGGAAACCCCTGTTTCTGATCAGTGGCCAGAAAAGTGCAACCCCACGCTAGCCATCTCAGTCGTGGGCTGCTGAATTGTGTTTAGTTTGTGTGGAAGCTCCAGCAAGGCTTGGGTGTGAACCCCATATGTCCCTTGCCGTGCGACTCTGCAAGCTGGTCCGGGAGAAAAGGGACAGGAGAGCATGCTGGGCGATAAGCGGCTACATCCGCATTCCTGAATAGGGCACCCACTGCGCGCACAATGTATACACTGTAGATCCATCCCACTCCTTAAGCCGCTTATCTTGAAAATGGCGAGGTTAGCTACGAAAGTAATGCCGCTTGCTCAGAAAATTCTTCAAAATTCGGCCGGTCATTGAGAGCGGCAGCTAGTCAGGACCACGCAGCACCATGGATTCCGCGATATGCAGGAACGATGCCGGACGGCACGCAAAAACACACCTCTGACCGACCTCAGTGGCATGTCCACGCCCCGCATAGTTCGCGATTTTTGCCAACAACCCCTCCCTGCCATGTTTGCATTCTCAGGCAAGAAGCCGCGACACTTCAACACTTCCAGTACTTTCCGGTCAAAAGAACAGTCTTGATGGAGCTGCACATGTGAAACCTCTTTCCATCCTGGCTTGTTTTCGGGTGCTAACTTGAAGGGACGCAAACGCACAGTTGACCCCTGTTTCCGTGGCTTTTTTTGGAGCATGTATAGAAAATGGCCACGAGTTGCACAAGCTCCGATGCTTCGTGCTGGGTTTGAACGTCTGGAGCGCGACTATCAAGATTCGGCTCGTAGGGTCGTAGTTCAGATTGTCGAATGCCTGGGAGAGAGAGAAA